AATTCTCCTTAGCTTAATATATTAGTATGATATATTCAGTTAAGGAGTACGCAGAGATATTGGCTATAATCATTGCTTATAAATTCTTATATCTTATATAATCTTATTTAATATTTTGTTCCTTTGCTTCTTGCTTTTAAGTTTATATGTAGTTGGTTTTTATCTTATCGTATTAATTCTTAGGTCAATGAATTGGCTAAATCAAGACCATCAATGTCTGCTCGTCGATTACATAATTGTAATAGTGATCCTGTTCGAATCGAAGGTGCAACTGGGTTGATAAACCGCTCAAATCGATGGCCAATATTAGCACCGACATCAATTTCAAATAATCGTCAATCAACTGCTGATGAAAGAGCAAGACGATGCCAGGTATTTATAGGATCAAGGAATGTTATTCCGATTTCCTTTATCTGAATTTCTAGAAAATATTCAAAAATACGAATTGTCCAGGTGGGCTATATTTAACTCCCTAACTTTTTTTTGTTTTTATTCTGTTTGTGTGTAGCTTACTCCTCCTTCTTCTTCTTCTTCTTCTAGGCTGAAGCTTATAAACTTTTAACTCGTGATACATCAACTAATGATCGTGAAAAACAATCGATAACACATCAACAACTTTTGGACACTATTTTACTAACATCTTCTTTATATCGAACTCAAAAATCTGTAATAGAGAAAGGTATTTTAGATTCAAAAAAAAGTTAGTCGCTATCAGGCGTTAATAAATTTTTTTCGAAATGATGCCGCCAGATTCCAGATGAAGACATATGTAAATAATAATGTATGTGGCGCCTCTTTATTTTGACATATCTTAGATTATTTATTTTGAAGCTAGGACAGACTAAATTTATAAATAACAATTTTTTAGAAACAAAGAATAGTCTTTTCATCTTGTTTAATTTTCATAATTCTGATTGAATCAATATTTTTAGACGATTTAGTTCGTTATTCATCATCTCAAACGAATGATACTCATGAACTAACCTTGTTAAATGACTCTCGAGGTGCATTTACAACCACTTATTTACTTCGACGACTTAACAGTAAGTAAAACAATATAGAAGTTTTCTCTTCTAAATATCAATATCTTTCAGCATTATTTCCACGTCAACATATACTAGGTGTGCATATAGATATAATTGTTTTCTTTATAAACTGACATTTATTAATACTATTATTTTCATTTATAACTGTTTGTGTTGGTACTTTTTCAGAATAGAAAATAATCTCATAGATTTTAGTTCGTAAATTAAATAGAGAATAACTTTTTTATTTCTTTTTTTAAATAATAGATCTCGAACGTGAATCAGCAATTACGGCAAATATTGCATCATCAATTCAACAATCGTTACTGCCAGCTTCAAATGTTGACGTAGTATGAATTGAAGTTATATTTAAAAATAAAATTTCTTATTCTTATTTAAATAGGATACTACGAATCCGTTAACAACCGATAATGAAACTGATTTAGATGCAAGTCGAACGACACTATTAAATCAAGATGATGATGGAAGACATTTAAGAAGTTCTTATGTTGCCAATCGTGTTTCTTCACAATGTATGTTTGAATTCATTTAAAAATGAATGAGATAATCTTGGGAAGAGACACACCGATTTAGAACTAAAGTTTTACCCATAATATCATTCTCTTGATAGAAACTTTGACCGAAATTTACTCATTTCTAAATTATATCTTTATTTTTTTTAAGTACAAGAACGTTTAATTGGTCCACCTCGGCGACCGAGATCTCTAACAAGTTCTTCACAAAATCGGACTATCATCGATGTTCAAAATATTCAACCAACAGTAAAAATCATCTAAATTTATATTTTATTCCGACGCTATTCTTTGTTTTGAAATAAATAGAATCAAAATCGACAATCTGGATTACAACAATATCAAAAACAAAGAGTGATGCCAAAATATGGTAATACTAAAAATTATTAAGAAAAACATCATATTCATTTAATATCTTTTTTAGATGAAAGAAGATCTCGTGATTCATTAGTAAATGATGATAATTCATCATCAACTATTTCTAGACTTGTTTCTGTTACATCAAATAATACAACTTCTCGTCAAGATGTGGGATCATTGAATAGATTACAAACAATCGTAAGAAATAAATAAATAAATAAACAAATCTATTAAAAATGAATTGAAATTCTAGAGGGCATCAAATGTGAAAAAATCTTCCAAGTGAAATTCGATTTTCTTCCGTTACAAATGGACAATCATTAATGAAAAAATTTAAACTAGTCGATTTATATTCATTCTCACCCATCCTAAAATAAATCATCACACACTTTTTCATTCTCTCAATCCAGCTATTTTATTTTCCATTTTTTCATAATCATTTTATTTTTCTTATAAATTACGATAATTTTCTTTTCTTGTGATGTCTATAGAATATTTTTATTTTATAATTGTTTTTTTTTCTCAAATTTAAATAAACAATGATTCAAACTTATATTTATATTTTAGAACAAAAAAAAATAGTATTATAAAAGTCTTTCAAATGAGTTCATCAACACCAAAACCAATAACACTTGAAGGAAGTTGTCATTGTCAACGTGTGAAATATTCAGTTGATTCATGTATGTATATACATGTATATCGATGAAATGATTTATTCCTTAATATTTTTAGATACTCCTTATCCATTTATGATATGTCATTGTCTAGCTGATACAAAAACAGCTGGTGTATTTAATTGCAATATTATGGGTGAATATCCAACATTGAAAATCAAACAAGGCAAAGAATTTATTAAAATTTATCAAGTTAAATTATGTGACACTGAAAGTGGTAGTAAAGAAAAATCAAGTACTAAACTAAGCAATCATAAACGACATTTCTGCAGTGAATGTGCTTCATATCTTTGGGCTCATTGTGATGACTATCCACAATGGGTTTATCCATTTGCATCATCTATTGATACACCATTACCAATACCCGATGAATATATTCATATAATGACAGATTTCAAACTTAATCATGTAGAAGTTCCAAAAGGAAAAAATATTCAAAGTTATCCACGTTATCCAGATGGTGGTAGCATTGAAGAATGGCACAAAGAACATGGTCTTTATGGAACTTATACAATCAAGAAATAAGATAGGACAAAGTTAAAAAAGTTCTTTTTTTTTCCTTTTTTTTATTGTTATATTTTAATCATGGGTACAGAAACCACCCGGTCCTCCAGAAGTATAGTTATAACCATGCAAATCATATTTGTTTAAAACATGACTTTGAAGATAAATTTGTGGAGTTTTAATAATTTGAAGTTGTTGAAGATCACGATTGAATATAGCATGAACAAAAGATGTAATTAATGTTGCTTCATCAGTTTTATATTGAGAAAAATGACAAATAGAACCTTTGCATGGTGTACACATAAGTTTACTAGCTTCATGAAATGGTTCATCAAGATTATCAGCATGACCATAGTCTGTTAGATTAATAAAAAATGTGGGTCCATATAATGAACGATACCATCGATCATTACTAATATTATTTGGTGCACATGCTGGAGTTTTCTTACCAATAGAGACATTATCTAGAATTATATGAAACATAAAAAAGAGTCTAAGATAATAATAGGTTCAGTTTTTACCTAAACCAGCACTGATTATTAGTGTAGGTGTTCGAAATGGAAGTGGAGTTGGAGGATCTTAACATAAGATAAGAGATAATTGAGTAAAATTAGATTTATCTTTTTTTTCTTTCTATACGTGTAATAAAATCCTGTACGATACCAAATGGATCAATTCCATCAACAGGATTCATCATAATAATTAATTTTAATGGACCACATGTTGTATTGAGATATTGACCGAGTGAATGAGCAGCTGATGAATGTGATAGAAAACCAAGTCGATCCATATTTGGTAGAACATCTTTAACTGCTTTATGTTCAGCAAAAAGACGAGTAGCACCATCATTCGGTTTCATTACCCATTCAAGAAAAGTAGCTATATGTATAGAGATTTTTTCTGGTTTTATATTTTCAATTTTGGAAATTCCTATAAGAATAACATTTTGTTGAGCAATTGTTGTTACCATTGTTGTATAACATGTTGTAGGTACTAAACCAGCTAGACCAGGTAAATAAATAAGAACTGGATAAGAACCAGGTGTTGTTGGCGAATAGATATCAAGTCGAAAGCGTATTGTTGGATTAGTTATAATTATATTACCTACTGACCAATGATCTATTTTACCAGTGGACGAGAAAGATATCGTAGTAAGAAATAGAATACTAAGTGCAAAGAACATATTGTTATATAATAGATTTATACTCTATAACGTTTTGTTTTTATATGAATAAAAAAAAGAATATTATATATTGATGAGAACTGTGACATCTGTAAGAAATCTTTCTTTGTTATTTTTTTCAGATGATTACCGACTTAGATAATAAGCGGAATTCAATTTCGACTCGACAACATGTGTTTGAATCTCTTATGTCTGAATGTCAACAAACAAATCAACCAACACTCATCAAATTAATTGAATATTATTTTCAAACGGAATCATCAAATGCATTACTTCTAATTAAGCAATTTAATGAAGCAGGAAAAGAACAATCGAAAGTTAGTAATTAATAAATAATTAACTTAAGTTTTATTGTTTTTTTGTTGTTGTTAGATTCTAATTGAACATTTAAATACACAAGGTTTAAAACAATGTAATCGGTATTCAAATAGTGAAGTTAATTCACATGAAGAACAAGAAAAAATTGCTCATACAATGAAAGTTTTTCGTATTTTATGTTTAATTATTCATAGTCAAGTACCTGGATTACCAACACTTATTAAAGATAGTGTATTACTTCCAAATTGTCTTCATGCAATTACAAAGGTAAGAATATTTCGAACATCTTAATTCTAAAATTTATTCTTCTCCAAAAATTTAGTGTAAAGATGATCCAAATATATTGGCACAAGCTTGTTATTTTTTTGCTGCATTAACTGCTACTTTACCTGGTGAAATTGTTCAACAAACAGATTCAATTCTTAATATATTTAAATCTACATGCAAATATCTTTATAAAAATAATAAATCCCTTCAACAACTTTCTGTTCAAATCCATTCGCGTAATATAACAATATTTTCTCATCTGACAAAATCTATTCTATGTATTTTTTTTTTGTTAGATTCTCTTAATAATGTTCAATTATGGATTGTAAATCAATCAGCACATGCATTATTTTATACACTTTATACAGCATATCCATGTAATTTTTTATATCAAATTCAACGTGAATTTCAACGAAATGAAAATCTTGATGTATTTGAGAATATTTTTATACCTATGTTTCAACGTGTTCGATTTAATCCACGTCTTATTGAAAGTGATAGAAAACGTGAATTAGATAAAGATAAACGTTTAAAAAAAGATACTTATAATATTATTTATGAAGCAAGAAAACTTTCACTTGATCCATTATTTGGAAGAGAATTACCAACTGATAATAATTGGATGCATCAAGAAATGAAGAAAATTTTACCATTTTATCAATTTAAACGTAAGAATAATAATTAAATAGAATTCGGAGAAATTTTTATGGGATTTATTTTTATAGGACAATCTCTAGCTAGATCCATAGATCAATTAAGTGATGGATTACGAAATATGAATGATAATGCTACACCACGTAAAAAATATTTTTTGTTAGTAAATAGTTGTTTAAATATTTTTTTGAATTTAGAAGAGAATGCTTCAAAACGACAAAGCAGTTCACCATTTCAAAAATTTAAAGTTTGTTAATATTATTTATTTATTGATCTTTAATTTTCTTTTTTTAAGGAAAAAATTAAATCTTTGGTTCGTCCAGCATCATCATCAACTCCAGCAACTACAATTTCAACACCCGATGGTGTCATGACAACAAACAATAATCCTAATAATATATTATCTATTCCTAATGTTTCTTCGTCTAGTCTAGCATCTCCATCACCTTCACTTGGATCAGATATACGTGCTGTTAAAACAATGCCTGAATTACAAAGTAATAGCGATCTATTATCATCTGCTTCATCAACTCCAGTAATTCGTCGTTCTGATCAGCAATATCAAATCTATATCAGATCAGTTATTGATACAATTTCATCAATATATGATCAAAGTTTGTTGAAAGAAAGTTTTAAGAAAAAAAAAACTTTGTTGTTTCTTTTTTCTTCATAGATAATATACCACCTCATTGGAGAAAATTTCTTGGTCGTTATGATGCAAATCTTCTTGTTGTTGCACCACCACCACCATCACGTCAAGCAACTTTCTATGTTTCACCATCTGAACATAGTCTTGATAATCAACAAGCGCAACATTATCAACAGCAATTTGATGATAGTTCACCATCATCAACAAATGAAAGACGACAACGATGTGCATCAGCTTCTTGTGCAAGTGGTCAACATGTTCATTCACCTGTTCTTGCTGCACCGACTACATCTACAGATGATATTTTACCTCGTACACAATCATTATCAACAAGACAACGTACTCGAAATTCTGCAACAGGACCATTTCAACAAAAATATTTTCTCGCACATCAAACTCAATATGAAGAAGATGATAATGATGATAATGTATATATCGATCCACCATCAACTATTGATCCATGGTCAATGTCTATTCCATCGGAAATATATATTTCTTCTGAAACAAAAAATTCTATTATTGATGAAATCGCCTGGACTGATCATGATTTAATTTCTATACCACATTTTGATTTTAATGATATTGTCACTAATAGTAAATATTCGATTTCTTCTCTCATAAATGCAAAAAAAAATGTATTCTCGTTATTTAGATTGTTCTTCCAATGAACTTAAACAATTTGATCGTTTATATGAATGTCATTCAAGTTACGAAGTATTTTTAACAGAACAATATAAAAAAATATGGCAACATTTATGGGCAAAACAAAAAACTTGTAATAAACATTTCAATGATCTTCAAACAACAGTATAAAAAAATAATTATCCTTTTTTTACTTGATGTTCATCAATTGTTATTTTTAGCGTGCATTTATGGATACACTTCGACATGAAGTTCATGGTTATCTTACTGATGAATTAAATATATATGAACATGATTCAAAATGTCTTTCGGATGAAAATACTTTATTAGGAGGAAAAGTTGTTGAGTTAGGAAAGTATGTGTAAGAGCAAAAAAAACAAAATCAAATAATTAATTATTTATTTTATTCCTAGAGTAACAACTCGTCGAAAACAAGTCTGTGCAAATGAAGCTAAAGATAAAGAAATGAGAGAATTAGAAGAAACATGTGAACAACTTCGAAAAGTAAATTTAAATATTCTTCATCGGATATTTATATATTGTTTTGTTTTTATTTAGACTGTAAATAATGAAACATTAAAATTAAATAATTTACATGTTGAATTAGATGATAATGAAAAAGAAACGAAATTAATTGGTGAACGTTTAGAACAATTAAAAAATATTACACAAAATATAACACATCTTAATGATTTGAATCAACAACTTGAATGTCAATATTTACGATTTACAGATGATATGCAAATGACAATAAATAGACAATTATTATCAGCATATCTTTCAAAAGATGATAATGATGAACAAAATCAATTTAAATCAACACCATCGACAACAACAAATGGACATGATGAAACAAGTGAACTTGATTCAATTTCTTTTAGTGATGAACATCGAGAAGAAATCGATGATTTACAACAACAAGGTGAAGGACACATAGAAAATTATGATCAATTACTTGCTGATATGATCGTAACATTGACAAATCAAAGTAAGAATATACAGAAAATTGTTTATTTATTTTTTATATCAATTTTATCTAGATATGAACAATGATTTAACTAAAACAGATATTGAAAATGAAGCATACAGAATAGTTCTTGAATATATGGAATCGAAAGCTAATATGCAGGTATAACATATTAAATTTACTTTAATATTATTATTATGATTTCATTTTATTTAGAATTATCTCATGGAGCATAATACACAGTATACTGATCTGTATTTAGCAGTGCAACAAGATTACATCATGCAAGTCGAAAAAGATCTTTCCTTGAATCAATCGCTATTAGAGCAGATGCAGAATGTGGCAATTTAATTTTTTTTTTCTTCTTGCATCTATCTGTCATTATGAATATCATTAATAAAAAACATTAAAAAAAAAGTTTTATTCTAATAAAAGAATGTTAACAGTCAGAACGCAACAAAATGTCATTGATCAGATCGATAATTTCTGCATACTAATCAATGGTTGGTTTTCATTAGTAATAATAAATTGCTTCAATTTTGCGATATAGTCAAATATTGATACTCTACACAAAACTTCTCAATAAATAAAACTGTCAGATTGAAACGTTATGAAACGACAATTATCTGTGAAATTGCTTGCACAAGAAAAGATCATTCTACTCCTATTGATTACTAGCGACATCTGATGCATAGACGTGTTTCTCAAACACCAATAACATATATTTAGCTTTGTATATGGGTGTCGTGTTGTCGATATTCTCGATGTTTAAGTCTCTTGAGAAACGTGCACTTTTTCTTTTAGATCAGTATCGATTTTAGTTTTAACATTATGTCTCAACCAGTATCCTCTGAACCTATGAGTGATGTATCTGCAACAAGTACAACCAGTCAACCTGTAAAAGTTGCACCTCCATTAAAACTCGATAGTATGTATATATTTTTTGTTATCAGATTCTGATTGATTTTATATAACCGAGTCTTTTTTTTCTTAGTCCTTCGTATCATTCGACTTTGTCAACAACAACATGGTCTTCGTCATGGTGATTATCAACGATATCGGTGAGTAAAGACAAGTCATTTTTTTTTCGTCTAAAGTATATTTTATATAAATATTTAAGATCATTTTGCTCTCGTCGTCTTCGTCGTATACGGAAATCACTTGAAGCAACTTATGGCAATCAAAAAAAATTTCAAAAACCTGTCATTACTGACGAACTTGTGGCAAAAGATTCACGGTTATTATATCCATCATTTTTCCTAAAACTAATTTAATATATTTTCTTTTCAGATATCTTTTATTACCACTTATTTGTAGTGAGCGTGCATGGGCTTTTGCTATGCAACTTAAAAGTACGTATGACGATAAATAAAAGATAGTGAAACTTAACTAATAATTTATTTTAGCTGAATCAAATAGTGAACCTCGAAAAAAATTTCATCTTTTAAATCGTCTTCGTAAAGCAGTTAAACATGCTGCTCAACTTGAAGCATTATGTAATCAACAAAAAACATGCGATGCTCGTACTAAACTCGAAGTTCAAGTTCGTATTTCATACACAAATTATTTATTTTATGAATTCTTATATATTTCTAGGCTTATACAGCTGTTATGAATGGTCATTTAAAATTTGAAATGCAACAATGGACTAATGCATTAGAATTTTATGTTCGTGCACAGTAAGTTTAATGACCTAAAATGTATTTATTATTATTAATTTTTATCATTATAATTAGAACAATTTATGATAAACTTAAAACAGGTGTTCGTAGTGAAGATGATAAACAAATGATTGATCAACGTATTGATGAAATAACAACCAATGTTCGATTTTGTCAATATAAGAGTGGTGATAAAAATGCTGCAAAAGAATTAAGAAATTTAAGAACTAAAGCAGCACTTGATGATCCTGAAATGACACGTATTCTTGATGTACATATAATGTTTTTTTTCTATTAAAATATAATATTATCAATGCACCTTTCTTTTCTTATTAGGCTTTTCTTAGCGAAGCGCATGAACAACAAACATCAACAATATCAGAAGTAACATGGCGACAACATAAAATACAAATTGCAAATGAAAAAGTTCGATTATTCTTTTTAAATTTACAAGAATTCGAAGCTGAAATCAAAGTAAAATTAATACAAAAATTCATTTTGATATTATAAAATAAAAATTTATTTATATTTAGAAATCAGGTGTTTCATTTGACACTAAAATGAGTTTATACGAAAGTTTTCTTAAAGAAGCAGTTGAAACATTACAAATAGCTAAAGATGAACTTAAAAATGATCCTGTAAGTATTTCAAATACAATATAAACTTCCTTTGTAGATTTCTTATTTTATTTTTTTTAAAGACATTCAAACCTGTTCCAGCTTCAGCAGCTGCTGGTGCAACACCCGCAACTAATGAAAAATTGTCTGATGGTGTTTGGCTTTATAGTTACATTGCATGGATTCGTCTTTCAAAAATGATTGAACGTAATTTAGCAATGATTGATAATGCTAAACAACAAACATTCAAAACAACAACATCGGATACTGATAAGACTGATGCAACATCAGCTAAAAAGGTGACAAAATCTGCTGATATTGTTCGAATGTATGATTTATTATTACAAGTAAGATTATTTTTCTTAGTATTTAATTTAAATTAATAAGAAAAAATTCTAGTTTTTAAATGATATAAGTACAATACCAGCTTTACAAGCTGATAAAACAATTCAATCGGATGTTGCTTTTCAAACAATTGTTTACAAGGCTTGCAGGTTTGATTCATACTTAAAGAAATAACAAGAGTAAATATTTTCTTTTTCTTTTTAAAGATCATTTTATATAGCAGTTTCATTTGTTCAAACGAAACGTTATAAAGAATCGGCAGCATTAGTTAATAAAGCTGAAATATATATGGAACAAGCTAAGAAAATAGTTAGTGATGGACAACAACCGAAATCAAGTGAAATTAATTATCAAGTATGAATAATTTTCGAAATTGAATGTAAAATAGAAAAATTTGTTTCATTTAAGACATTATTGAATGAATTTAATGTTATTCAATCGAAACTTGATGAAGTTAAATATCAAATTCAAACATCAGCTACAACGGCTACACCAACACCAGCAGGTAGTGCTTCACCAAAGGTCGGCGCATTACAACAATCATTCGATGAGGTTCTTTCAATTGAAGAACAGAAAGAATTAGAGAAAAAAGTAAGACTTCTAAACATTATTTCAAACAATTCATTTGTTTTTCTTCTAGCCATTAATTGATCGTTTGGATACATATCTTGAAGATTCATCATTAACAAATAAAAATCGTCTTAATATTGTTTCATTACCACCACCATTTAAACCCATTCCATGCAAACCGGTGTTTTTCGATTTAGCTCTCAATCATCTAACATTTCCCTCATTGGATGATAAAGTTCAAAGTAAACGTCAAGCTATATCATCAATGAATGATAAAGGACAACAACAACAGCAAGCTGGTCTTACTAGTTATGTCAAAGGATTTTTTTCTTGGGGTGGAAAAAAACAATAGATTAAAGACAATTATATTTTTTTCTTAACATAAAAAAAAAGAAAAGATTGATTTTATTGTTATAAAAAAAAAAAGAGTATCCGTTATCTTATTTAATCATTCTAGATGGGAAATGTATTTGGTAAGAAATCGTCAAAATCTTCGAAACAACCAGCGATTACCGAACAGGATCGCGCAATATTAGTAAAGAAAATATTTCTTTTTTTATTTAAACTTTATTCCTTTATTCGTTTAGCAATTAAAACAACAACGTGATCGATTGAATCAAAATCGACGACGTGTTGAAAGTCAACTTGATCGTGAACGTGAAGTTGCAAAACAATTATTAAAGAATGGTCAAAAAGAGTAATTTAATATATTTATTTATTATTAATTTTCTTATGAGAATATTTTTAGTCGTGCATTACTTTTACTTCGAAAGAAGAAAATGCTTGAAACACAATTAACAAAAAGTGAAAATATATTGGAAAATGTTGAACGAATGGTAGCATACTTTCTTTTAATTATTATTATTATTCATTAATTTGTTTTTTTCTTTAGACACATGATTTAGAATTCGCTCAAGTACAAGTAGATGTTGTTAACAGTTTAAGACAAGGAACAGATGCATTGAAAAAAATGAATGATATACTTAAACTTGAAGATATTGAACAATTAATGGAAGATTCACGTGAAGCTATTGAATACCAAAATGTATGAAGAATTTATTTTTCATTTTTTTTTGACTAATGAATTCTTTCTAGGAGGTATCAAATCTTTTATCTGGTGGTTTAAGTCGAGCTGATGAACAAGATGTTGAAGCTGAATTAGATGAATTAATTCGAGCTGATGAAGCTAATCAACTTGGTCAATTACCAGATGTACCTCATCATCGTCAAGGTGAACGTACTCGTGTATCTCCAACAAAATCCAAACAACGTGTGCTTGCTGAAGCTGATTAAATAAAAAAAATATTTCATTCTTAGGTTCTATTTGTTTATGTAAATATTTTAATGGCTTTTTTTCTTTTTAAAAGATATATATATACATATATACATAAACAGTTTGAGTTCTTGCTTGTTTTTTTTTATGAATAAGTATATAAATGATCATGTTTTTAGATTATAATATGGCTATTGGTATTATATTATTAACCGAACATTTTTAGATTATGAAATTTACTAAGTCGTCATAGAAGGTAAATTCTATGTTATATCACTTGGATCGGAGATAAATCTTATTTTTGGATTTTTTCAGATGTAAAAATAAATCATTGATCATGAATCTCATAATATCTTTCGTTTTTCTCTTCATATGTCTTCCACAAATATTTAGTTTATTTTTACCGAAAAATATTCTTTGTAATCAATCAATTCCATTTCCTTCTATTGATTCATCAATTACAACGAATCAGAATTTATCATTAACATTTTGCAATCTAACTTTTAATATAAATATTCATTTAAATGAACATTTCTTTTCACGAAATATTTCCATTGATAAATCAATAAAATCTTCAGTAAAACAAAATTTTACTTATTTCGGTCATATCATCGATGAAGATCGTTCAAGTATAAGTTTAATACTTTATCCACAATTACAAATCTATATATATTTAAATGGTACATATTATTATTATGTTTCCTCATCTGAAAATTCAACAATCATATTGAAATTTTCTCAACGACAATTATTACAATATTATCCTCAATTAGTTAACGATAGTTTATGGAATAGTTTACAACAAGAAGAAGATATTTATCAAAGAAATTCAATAATTTTACATGATTTACATTTTATATATGAATTATTAACATTACGATGTGAATCCGATAATTTCGAATATAAAACCATGTCATTTTGTTCATTAGCTTTAATTGTTGATGAATTATTATATAAAAAAATATTTCATTCAAATATATATTATCTATTTACATTTATTGAACATTATAATTTTCTATTACGTACATTAACACGGAATGAATACGGAGGATTTTTAATTGAACGTATAACATTGATAAATCATATTGAAACAAATTTTAATGTATCACTTGATTTACTTCATACGTTAGCAAATAATACAAATTTTCAATTGAAAAATTATTGTCTTGTTCATCAAATGTTATTATCGGATAATGAAAAAGATAATTATATACTTGGTTATCAATCATCAATACATACATATGATATTGGTGGAATATGTTCATCACCATTTTCGATAAATAATAATGCATCCGATGAAATTAATCTTAATACAGGTTTATCAATTGTTAATGAAAATTTAACAAAAGATCTTTCATTATTTTTTAATGGTTTAATGAAAACAAGTTATTTATTTTTTCGTCAAATGGGTTTAAATTTAACTCTATGTTCAATAAATGCAACTCGTAGAGGATTTTTTCAATTTAATACAGATGTATCACCTGTTGTTCAACATTGTATTGATCTTGTACCAGTTACTTTACGTTCGGCACTTAAACGACGTGCACATCTTTGTTTTAATTATATAAATATTTATAATTCAACAAATCAAACAATACAACAAGGAATATGTCAACAATCAATTGATTCACAATCATCTGTACCGATAATAAGTGGTAAACATCGAAAAACTCCTTATATTGAAAATGCATTAAATAATAATCGACCTGGTGAATGGTTTGAAGGAAATATTGTCGGAATGATTATCACATTTTCATTAATTATTTGGATACCTGTTAGTTGTTTTGTACATTTTTGTAAAGATGAAATCAATAAAAAATCTCTTATTGAAAAACAACAGCAACAACAACAACAGCATGAATTAGAAACATTACCAATAAAATCAGTAGTTATTGATCAAACTGGTATAACAAAACAAACACAAACTGACTAAAATATTTACTTTTCTGTCAGATTTTTGTAATTGATGTCGAGTTATAGATATAAATATATAGTTGTATTTAAATAGAAAAAAATAAAGTATTGATATATAGATTTTATAAAATTCTTTGTTTTCTTTGAGATGGCTAATCTATATGGTTATGGTGATATGACATCGGAAGAAGCTGAACCAATTGATAGTGATGAAGAAGATCAAAAACGATCAAGTCGAGATCCGGATAAGTAAGTATGCAATAATAATTTATAACTAAAAGTAAAGAAACAAAGGTGTATTCTTGAAATACTTCATTGAAGTGTTTACTATGTAAATATCGTAAACGCTTTAAAAATACGAAATACTCAACTCGCCAATTACTTTTTAATTGAATTTAGATTACCATTTTCAATTATTTGGCGAGATGATTTAAAAAATGATGATATCAAAATTCCGTGTTCAACTCTATTGATCGCTTTAGGTGCAACTGCTTCAGGTAAACGACATATTATTTCTCTGTATAAAACTAATTATGATTTATTTAGCATTTGCTTTTACACATGTCTTATGCAATAATGATATGGAATTAATTGGCTATGCAACAGATAGTAAAAAAACGGATGAGGAAAATGCAGAAACAAAAGCATTTGATGAAATTAAAGTACAACAATATTCAACACAAAGTGTTGATCGTATCTATCGGTTAGCTTCAAGTTCGTTTATACTTATTCAATTAAATTCTTCAATTAAATCAGATCGACTTTGGTTAATAAGTGAACAGGTAATTTTTTTAAATTTTAGGGAAATTATTAGTATTGTTTTCTTTTGATGAATATAAATTAGATTATTAACAAATTTAATTTGTTAAAATTAAATACATCTAACCCGGTTTACATTATTCAATCACGTTTATGTATGGATTATGTAACTATTTCAGGTGAATTAGAAAATAAATCAAATTTATTTATACGTTATATGAAATCATCAACAATTGCAATTGATGATAAAACTACACAAATAATCAAACCAATTCAACCACCAAATGCAATTCGAGGTCTATCAGCTGCTTGTAAGTTATTTATTCATTACCGTATATTTTACTTTTATATCGATTTTCAAATTAGTATTTACAAAATTTCATCAAGCAAACATCCCGGTTATTGTTCTTGTTGTTTATCAACGTCATGCATCTGTTAATGCTGATTCATTAAAATTATTACAACGAATCTTAGATCGAATATCAACAACATTAAAACCATATATTCAATCAAGTGACAAAACAAATAAACAATTGATTCGTTTAGCAGCAACACAAACAAGTAACATGTACTCATAATTAGTCTTTCTATGATAATCAAGAACAAGATGAGCAGTTTTATTCTGGTTTTCTTTCTTTCTTTTTTTAAATAAACATTACTAAACATTCCTATAGAAAAAAAACACAAAAAAATTCTATTTTTTTTCTTTTAAAATGGAAACATTATTCCAAAAAGTAAAATATGTATAACGATAATAGAAACCGCAATAAAAATGAGAATCATTGCAATTGTATAATTTCGATAACCAGGTTCACCTTTATATTCTGGTGTAATAAGCCAAAGTAAATGTTGAATATAATTATCAGCTGAAGTTATATCCGCTCTTGTTGTATCGCTTGAAGTCAATGCACGACTAAAAATAAAATTTCATCAAATTATTTTCATCGATGAAAATGAAATTACTTTGTATAATCAACGAAAGCTGATTGAAATGATACAAGATATTTTTGTGTTGATGTACCATCACAAGTACCTGCAGTACAATCAAATTGCCAATTTGAATAGACATAACTTTGAACAAAAAAAGATATATTTCTAATAATTAAAACAAAATTATAAACTTACCTGTATTGAACAGAAATAATTCGTTCATAGGAAAATGTTGAATTCACAGTTATACGAACATAACCAAACTCTATATAAACACCAGATGGAACATCATAGCAAACGGGAAGATTTGCTGTTGTATCATAAATTGTAGGATTGGATTGTACTGAAGTTTTCTCAATAGTAACAGGATCTAATCGATCATTAGCACGTGTTACATCAATTCGATCAAGATCAAGTGAATCTTGAGTAGCATTCCTAAAATATAAATTTACATATCAACTGATTCTTTTTTGTATATGTACCGAATTGTAACTGTCGTAGTGCCACTTGGATAAGTAATAACATCGGATGCCGGAGCAAAAAATATATTTAAATAGAGATACATATTAAGTCTATTAAAAATGAGATTATTCAAGTTTTGTTAAAAGAAAAAACTGACTTAAGATCATGACATTGTTGTACAGTACTTTTTTTTAATTGAATAGAGCAGTATGATGAAACACTTTGTTTATAATGTAGATTTTGTCGTGTAGCATCGACACATAAACCACTCGAAGCTAAATAAATTAAGAGAAATATTCTTTTTATCAATAAACTTACTAGGAACAAAAACCGACACATCTGAAGAAACATTATTGTGTAAAAATTGAAGAGCTTCTCCATTAAGATAACCACCTATATGGAATGATGATTATATAATAATGGAAACAAAAAATAGTTCTTACGAGGGATATTTGTAGATGATGTACTGTTATTAATATCAATCCATTCAATCGTAATTCGTGGACTTGCGAGTAGAGTACTTTGATATTGGACGTATACAGAAACAGCTCGAATAGTATTATCAACCGATGAATAACTAAATTGATAATATACTCGTCGAATAGATAGGGATGCGCATGAAAGTGGTACTAAAAAATTATGGAAAAAAAATAACAGAAAATAATAGAAATTAAAGAAACTTCGAAGAACATACATGTTGCAGTTGTTGCACTATTAAAATCAGAAAAACCTGTTGAGCTATCTTTTGATGTAGCTCGAGCAGTAAAGAAAGTAGGCGGAATCGTACTATATGTTAAATTATCTCTTAATGGACATCCAGTCCATGTTTGATAACTAGGCGAACTACCACAAGCTGTGTTCGAATTAGAAGCAGCACAAACAAAAAGATAACGTTGTGTTCGTGTCGATGGATAATAACCAAGACAATAATCATTAATAGTACCATTGGTATATGGTATATTAGCAATAGTTGAAGAATACTGATTTTGAAAATAATATTCTGCTGTAGAATTAGTTGAAGTACTTGAGTTTGATACGTAGTTGCTAGTGAAAGAAGACAAGGTTACAGACGAACTTGAACCAGTGCCTGATAAAATTGATGTTACACTATTAATACGAGAACAAAGTTGCTGAAAAAAAATTCATAAAGAAAATATTGAGTTTAAAAGAAAATCATACAGAACTTGTAATTGTTGTGCATGAAACATCACGATTAACTCCAAATAAAACGTTTACATTTTGCTGGCAATTTGAACCACCTAAATTTCCGGGTAATGTAAATACTGCTGTCGTATTTTGGTAAACAGGAGCACTCATGATATACTTTCCGCTAAAGGTAGGTGTTGCTGATGTTGTTGTTGTTGTTGTTAGAAATAATTCTGGATTTTCACTAACAAAATTTAAACGTAAATTTGTTGCGTCAGTTGGTGTGGTTATAAACGAGACATTGTCTGTTGAATAATATTTACCATTTACTTCAGTAAGTTTTAACTATTTTAAGTAACAATGATATTCTCTTTCTGTTAGTTATGAAATTATGATATCATACCTGAACACAAACAAATGGAAAATAATCATAGAGAGCAGCAGAAGTACTGTTCGAACAATTCCATGTTTGAAGACTTTCGTCCACTGCAGATGAATATGAAGAAGTTGTTCGTACTGAATTACATACTGGTGATGCACTGAGATCGTTACTGTCACAATTCTAGACAAACCAATAAAGGAAAAATGAATGCCGGTTTTTCTTAAATTATTAAATTACGAACAGAGTCACAACAACAATTTGGATCGCAAGTATTCGGTTGAAGATCACAAGCACATGGGGCTGGATCACTAACGGCAGGATTAGCAAAACTACGTTGAGCTAAGACAACTTCTATAACAGAATAGAATTATCAAATTATTATTTTAATTGAAAGAAAATTACTTGAATACAATTGTACAATAGCAATAAAATAGATGAGAATATATGTTTGAATTTTCATGTTGAATAATATTAACTGGGATGAAAGTATCTTGATTATAGAGAATATGTTCAATCCGCCATTATCGATATGGTTACTATTGACTGATCCACAACATATGAATAAGAAATTGAAAGATAATTTTATAAAATCAAAATACGTTATTTAACTATAAGTATATCAAATCTTGAATAATTCTTAGAATTAGAATTATGAATGCATAACTAGATCGATTAAATCCTATTGGTCTTTATTTATCCAATAAGAATAGAAAAAAATGAAATTATTATCATTCATCGACTCGATCCATTTTTTTCCTTGTTCTCGTGTTTTCATACTCTTGATGTAAATGTGGTTTTTATTGTTAGTAAATTTTATTTTAGATAGTTTTTTTTAATTTAAACAAAAAATATGCTAGCTCATCTAGCTACTAGTAGTCGTTGTGTTACTCTCAGTACAATTCCTCGTGCTAATACATTAGCTGTTATTCGTAAGGCCTCATCATCAGGTGGACATAAGAAGAATGAAGATCCTGTAGCTGTTTCAACACCAACTGATGATCCTCATCGTTCACCAATGAGTCAACGACAATTACCACCCGATGATGGCAAAGTCCGTAAGTGAATGCATTCATATCTATTAAAAACAATACAATAATCTATTGTTTATTAAAAGGTTTTCCTAATCCATGGGATGTTATCCTTAACAAACGTCGTTTTGAATATGCTATGGTCTGTTATAAGAACTAATTTTGATTTATACGTTTATTTTATTATATAGAAATTTAAAGGATATGATGATCCATTCGATATGATGCCAGTTAAACGTATTGCGAACAGTACACCAGAAAATCCAAACTTATTACCAAGTTGCAACGATAAACGACTAATGGCTTGTATCTGTAAGTCGATTGATAAATAAAAAGAAAAATCTTCATATATATATTTATTGATTGATAGGTAATGAAGATGTATATCACTTGAAATGGATGCATCTTCATCGTGGTGAACCAAAACGATGTTATTGTGGTATGTAATAATATAATTCATAATTGTGATTATCAATTTTATTTATAGGCCATTGGTTTAAATTAACTGAACGACAATATGTTGATTTAAGTGACTTTGGTATTACTGAAGAAATGCAAAAACCAGCCGCTCATTGAGACTCTCCTTTTTTCTATTGATAGACTATCGTAGTCCTTCTTTAACTCTCACACATTTTCGCTTTAGTTTGGTTTTTTTTCATCATCATCATCGTCAAATTAAAATAAACAAAAAAAAAAGAAAACAAAATCTTTTTCTTATTCTTTTACATTTAAATCTAATCAGAGAAGAAGACATAGAAAATATGTTTTAGATATGTCTGATTTTCAATTGAATAATGAAGATCATGAAGCATTGGAAAAATTTACAAAATTTTTCTTAGTTAAAGCAGCACAAATTATTGTACAATCACGTTTAGGTGAAAAGAAAACAACAAAATCAAAACCTGTTTACTCAGGTAATGAATGGGTAAGTAATAAATAGAATTTGTCAAATTATTGATATAGAATAATTTTTATATATATATTTTAGTTTCATCTTTCTATCAAAGACATTCCAGAGGTTACTGTCAATGCAAAGAAATGTTTAGGTGATGCACAACATCTCTTAATTGATCCTCCACATTGTCCATTTTGTGTTGAAATATCTTTACGTACCCCAGATTGTGATACAATTACATTAGAAACCTGGTGTATATCTTTCGATGATTCAGTATCCGATCCATCACAACGTGTTCGATTTAATATATATAATCGTATGAGTATTGTACTTCGATCATTGCTTGCTTGTACACGTGCAACACCTACATATCAATTATCACGTAAACAATCAGCAGATAAATATATTATTTGTTATAAAATGTATAGCGGAGAACCTATTGTTAGTCATCTTGGTGAACATTATTCGAAGAAAACTTGTGGAAGTATAGTGACACCGATTGGACGTTTTGTATTAAATGTTGCGTATCGTACACGTTTAACAATGTCATCACCACAAATTGAGAATGGAATAAGTGGTATAACACAATTTGGTATAGATATTAAAAATGATCATTTTTCATTAGATAGAAATCAAAATAGTGCTGAAGAGTAAGAAGATTTTGCAGGAAAAGAAATAAGATTTATTAAAGAAATATTTTTAGAGATAATGATGCACAATTACCATCAGAAAGTAATTCTAGTGTACCAAAAAGTTCACCTATTGAAGTTATGAAACGACGACATACAAGTTGTGATTCTGTTTCATCAAGTCATGGGTAAATTTAATCTTAGAAAAAGAATTATTTTATATTTCTAATTATTTAGAACACCTGATAAAGTATATTATAGTAAATTACGTGCTGCTTTTGCCACACCAGGCACAACAGCATATCCTTCAAATGTTGGTTCATATTCACGTGCTAATGATAGTGATTTACCATTTGTACTTATGATGCAACAACAAGAAAATAATCATCAACAACAACAACAACATTCAATGGAACAAGAGCATCAACAAGAACAACAGCATACAAAAAATCATTATTATATGAGTGGTGATTCAGAAAATGAAACAGCACCAGATGATTTTATTCTTGTTGAAGTAAAACCATTTTTTGGTAAAAGTGATTCAACAGATGATCTAGCTCTATTTATTCGTTCGTGTCAACAACCACCAATGCTTGAATCATTTATTGTTGAACCATCACTTGGAGAAACCATTAATCAATTAAATGAAGAATTACGTATATTTGAATCTAAAGTTGAAGAATTTGATCAACTTGTTAGCACATTAGATACGAATCATAAAGCTTCATTATGTACGACAGAGTGATATATATTGTGCATGCATGTCTGTTTTATACTACAATACAACAGTGCTTTCGAATTAAAATCTCTATTTCTTACTCTCTTTCGAACGACAAAAAATTGTATTTCTTTATCTTTTCTTTTTCTTTCTTTCTTTTTTTTTTTGTTTCGTACACATAGATAGAAAACAAAAAAGAAAATCTTTTGTTATATGAATGATGTTAAAGTTAAGTGATACATTGATACTATCCTCTTTTTTTTTCTCTGTTTGATAAACTTTGTAAATTTACTAATTATACTGCATTTTTGAAAGAGATTATTAATATTCTTATAAAAAAATTTAAATCTTTATTTTTGATCCTATTGCAATATTTGAAATATAATAATTCGCTGATGGGCGATATCTATCGGATTGACAAAAATTTTCTTTTTTCGTTTGTCAATCGAACAAAAAACGCCCAATGATTCATTAGTAATAAATATCAACATTAAATTATTTCTATTTTCTATTAGATGTGATAGATAAAAATTTGATTCATGGGTAATTTATTTTCTCGAAATAAGGAAACATTAATAACAACAACAGATGAAGATGATCAATTTTTTGATTGTTTAAATGACGATGAAACACATAATGAAACTAATACACAAATAATTTCACATTATTATGCAGTTTGGATTCCATCAAATGTTGAAATTACTGGTAAATTTTTATTTTTTGAAAATAAAATATTGTTTTTGTTTTTTTTCAGAAAATCAATTTATCTTTGATGATATGAAAAGTGCATTTACACTTTGTAAAAAATATAGTAAACATAATAGTCGAGTGAAAATATTTGCTAATCGTAATGACGCAGAAAGTTTTATTGAACAAAGTCGAAATACTACAACAGATACTAATGATCTTAATATGTCAATTGAGCAGGTGACGAAATCAGGAAGTAATGATGCAGAAAAATTACCATATAGTGATGTACCAACATCTGAATTAACAAAACTTTATAATCTTGTTGAAAAAGGTGATGAAAAAGAATTCGAACGATTAGTTTGGACAAATCCTCGGTATTTAATAAGTAGTGGTGATTCACCAACAATTGTTAAAGTAAAATTTTTTTTTTTAATTTTATTGATATTAAATAAACCTTATTGAATTATTAGATTTCAGTTCGATATAATAGTATGCATGTTGCTTCATTATCTGGTCAAGCGGAAATAATTCGTATATTAATAAAAACAATAAAAAATGTTCATTTTATTCGTCGTCTTTATGTTAATGATACCGAAGAACAAACACAAAAACGTATACAATTTATTCTTGATATGTATTTAAATACACCAGATAAAATGGTAAAAATAAATTCAAATTCCATTTTTTGATCTTTTCTCTCTCTACGTATTTATAGCAAAATGAAACTCCACTTCATCTTGCATCAAAATTCGGACATTATGATGCTGTTTGTGCTTTACTTGACGAAACAAGTTGTAGTAGAGATGCAGTAAATAAAGCTGGTTCAACTGCACGAGAAGTAAGTTATGATTAATTTCAAATGAAATATTTCAAATTATTTATTTAGATTATTTGTAGTCGAGCAAAAGATAAATCAAAAGAAAAGAAAATTCATCAATTATTTGAATGTATAATTTAATTCTTTTTTTGTTTCTTTTTCTATCCTAAAATTGATTTATTTTAGCTACATATTATATTCCGATATATAGTCGAAAAATAACCATGGAAAAGATTATTTCAAAACCAATCGATGAAACAGCATTTAAACCATTTCTACATACTATTCAACAAGCTTTATCAAATTTACCAATTGAATGTGATAATGATACGATATTAATTGCCTTTGCTGGTCCAACTACTTATGAAATATCAATGAAATTCTATACATCAGTATCCTCTTCAACACGTGGTCAAGCTCGTCGTACTCAAAATTTTCTATCATCACCTAAAAGTCCTATATATATTGTTCGTAGTGATGCTGAAAAAGGTTGGGAACGTATTGCACGAACATATGCATTAGAAACTTATTCAATAAATTGGTGTGAATATTGGTCATTTCTTGATACATACATAAATTTATCGTCAAATGATGGTCTTCGATTATTAGAATATTATCTTCAACAACGTATATTACATTCTCAAATATTAAAAACAATTGATCAATTTGAAAAATTTTCAAGTCATTATTTTTCCATTGAAAAAAAAGATATATCAAATGAAAATGATTTAATACTTAATTCTATATCACAATTAATTCAACTATTTTATACATTAATTGATCTATTTAATTTAAATGATTTAGTATTAAATCGTAATTATCGTCATCATCTTGAATTAAGTGGTTTCGAGAATCAACCAAATAATGAATTGAATTCGATTAAAACTAATATTATTAATCAATTACAATGGTTATCAACACAAAATCAAAAGATTTTATCTTTATTTACTCGTCCATTACTTAATAGTTTAACAATGGTATTTACATTAATTATAAGTCCATCAGGTTGTGCTTTAATTGATCAAATACAACAAAACCAATATGAATCACATCGATATCAACAAAAAATTCGTCCAGCATCACGACTTAGTCTGATTGGACTTGTTTGTCCAAAACGACGACAATCACGTCGTTCATATAAACCTGTTAAAGATCAACAAATCATTCGATCAAAATCTTGGCCTGATTTATCCTTACCAATGGAATCATCAACGATTCGACGATATCATTCACAAATTGAACTTAATCAAAATAATAATAATTATTCATCATCAACTTTATTAAATGAAACAACAAGAAAATCTATTAATGATTTAACACAACGATCAATTTCAATATCAAGTACCCCACCCATGTTTTCATCTCAAACTAGTGTTGATATATTAAAAGAAGATAAAGCAAAAATTGATAAATGGCATTATTTTCTTGCTGGGTAAAATAAAAAAATTTCTTTAATTAATATTTATTTCATTTCGAATTTTTTCTTTAGATCTCAACCAACAAAACTTGATGCACATGTTGTACGTGCCATTGATTTAAATAATTCAATAAATTTAACAAATCAACCACAATATCGTCTTTGGCCAAAATGGTATCAAGCTGTTCAATTACGTCCAATTGAAGAACAAAATTTATGGACAACACCAATACGAAATTCATCGCCATCAAATCGAAAGGTGAGAATCGAGCATGTTTGCTATCGTCGCTCGCTGATCATCGATTCGCCTTAATCTAAATTAATCATATCAAAATAATTTCGCTTTTTCTTGTGCTATTTTCTTTTTTTCCTCTTTTTTTTGTGTATATATATATATTAACATACAAACTATATCAGATATATAAAAATAAAAGTCCATTTTCATCATACAGATACTACGTCCTGGTGAAAATCAATCATCTACTTTATTGAAAATGGTAACTCGACAAGCGTTTAAGAGAAAAATAAATAATCGTGAACAATCACCGGTGCTAACACAAGACAAAATCTTGAAGACAAAACGAACCAAAAAGTGATTTATATATATTTCATTGTTTTGTGTTATTTATTTTTTTTTGCATTCATTTTTGATAATGAATTGTTTCATAACGTATTGTAACAATACTTATCGTGAGAAGATTTTTAAAACAGAGTAGAACCTTGCCTCTATTTTATTAATCAATATATATATATACCAGCAGGGTGAATCTATCTCTATATATGATGATGATGTTTTTGTTAATTGACTGTCAATATAAAATGAATAACTGTAGATAACGAATAGAAGAATATTTGATATTTTACTAGATACATGCAAAGAATTGGAATTGAATTGAGATGTGTGTTGATATCGCTTGCTTAAAGTTCAACATAAACATGATCTCACGATAAAATAGAAATAACCTTTATACAACGATTATATTAATAATTTGAATTCTACTGTCATATATAGAGAAGTGAATGGTCGTTCATAAATAAACTGTGTTCTCTTTATTGCTTTAACTTACGCAGAAAAGGTTGGTTACATATAAAAATGTGATAATATCTTTATATGCCAATGAGTTACTATCTAATTTGAGAAGTTTAAGAAAAGAATGTTTTATTTAAAATGTTGCTATTGAAAAGATCAGTATATTATATAATAATTTCATATAGTTAAGTTACTCATTGCATATTAAACATAATGCATCTAATAGATTTTCCTTATCTATATGCAGATACTTGTTAATACTTTTTATAAGACGATCAATCATTTGTGAAACTGACAAGTAAAAATAAATATCTGAATGTCTATCATAGAAGATTGTAACATAATTAAAAAGATGTAAAGCTTTACAAAAGTTTATACCTGATCATTATTCAGTGGTAAGCAGGTGAGAATGTGTAATTTATTTATTTCAAGCATTTGATTTGTATAGAAACAAATAGCATGTAAAAAAACGATTCTTTCATGAATATTATCTATTTTAAAGATATAAAAATACTGATTTTTTTTTGATCTATTTGAACTTACATATTCGTTGATCTTTTATATTTCTGATAGCCTTATCTTAATGTTAGAACATGCATACACGTAGTCTTTGACCCATAAAAATAAAATGAACAATTGAAAGAGCATTCTTATACTATAAAATCACTCGTTCTCATTCATTTATACACATTTTTTCTTGGGGTAATCTACACTAATATCATTACAACAAACAATGGCGAACAATAAATCAATAATATCTGTTCAAACCAATATACAAACTAATACTAAACATATATCAAACTTTTCCAAGGATGCAGTTGCAAATCGACGTATTAACATGCAAAGAATGCAAAATATCATCTCAATCAGCTTTGTGGCATCGAACAAAAAGTTGGATCAATTAGATCCATCATTTATGTATACTCAGATCTTGAAAGAGACCCTATTAACCATCAACTTCGAAGACAAACATATTAAACAATTTATTACTTATTGTCGTAAAGCATTTACCAAAAAAGGTTATAATTTACATAATATTGAAAAACTGGAACGTGATTATCATAATCGAACACCTATTTGGTGGTATACTTCTGAATGCTTTTTACATTCTATGCTCAATCAAGCATTAAGATCAATGGATGTTGATATTATTGTTCGAATGGGTTTCTTTATTAATGATCTACATCGTGATATTCAACGACTCCATTCGGAACAATTTCTTGGTCAACAATCTGTTGAAACATTTACAGTTTATCGTGGACAACGTCTTTCAAAGGAAGATTTTACCAAAATGAAAAATGCTGAAGGTGGACTTCTTTCATTTAATAACTTTCTATCAACTAGTAGAAAACGCGATGTTTCTTTCTTCTTCGCACCACAAGATGCAATAGAACCTGATATTGTTGGAATTTTATTTGTTATATCAGTTAATCCTTCTCATTCAACAACTCCATTTGCTTCTGTTGGTGATGCTAGTTATTTTCATACAGAAGATGAAGTTCTCTTCTCTATGCATACTATTTTTCGTATTGAAGATATTCAACCGATAGATGGAAGTACTTATGTTTATCAAGTGAATTTAACATTGACCAGTGATAACGATCAAGATCTTCGCAATCTTACTGATCATATACGACAAAAGACCTTTTCAAATTCGACAGGATGGTACGGATTAGGTGAATTGCTAATATATATGAGTCGGTTTAATAAGGCTCAAGAAGTTTATGAAGATTTACTTTATCAAACAACGAATAAAAGTGACAAGGCACCTATTTATCATCAACTAGGTCGAATCAAACGTAATCAAGGAGAATATCAAAAAGCACTTTTTTATTATGAGGAGGGTCTTGAAATTCAACAACAACAATCTCTTCCTTCCAATCATCGTAGTTTTGGTAGTTTCTATAACAACATCGGTAATGTACATTACTGCAGAGGTGATTATCCAAAAGCACTTTTTTATTATGAGGAGGGTCTTAAAATTCATCAACAATCAATTCCTTCTAATTACTCTGATTTGGGTGATTCCTATAACAACATCGGTAATGTGTATCACAGAATGGGTGATCATTCAAATGCACTTTCTTATCATGAAAAATCCCTTGCAATCAAACAACAATCACTTCCTTCCAATCATCCTGAAATAGGTGGTTCGTATAACAACATCGGTAATGTGTATTATAACATGGGTGATTATTCAGAAGCTCATTCACTCTATGAATGTGCTGTACAAATTTGGCAAAAATCATTACCATCAAACCATCTAACTCTTCAACAACGAAGAAACACTCTCAAACGCTTGGAAAAGAAATTATAATTTTGTTTCTGTATTTTTTTTCTAAAGTAAAATAAAACTGATGAAAAATAAAATATATCTATTGAAACTCTGTTCTTGTTGAGAACATAACATGAGCAGTAACATTCACTGGTAAGATAAACAATGCATATTGAAAAGATATGTATTGTAGAAAGGACTTTCACAGTTACATTATTATGTCTAAACAAATAGAATTTTATTGTGTTAGATAAGAAAGAAAGACACTCACAAGAAACAGAAGAATAGAAAGTTTAATTTATCAATAGAATGAATTATTCTTTCCGTTTCAATATCAAAGAATAGTTTAGACCATTGATAAACTAATCCATATTAAATGAATAGAATTAATACTTTCATTTATAAATAAATATAATTATATATGAAATTCTATCTTAGTCTATCACAATGATGATATTGAATGATGACATGAGCTTATATAGACGACTAATTTCAATATATGATCATTGTTCACTATGACTCTTACATGCTCTGTTTTTAAGATATTTAGAAATCTATTTATCTTTAACATGAATACAAATATCAGCTTTACTTTTCAAAAGAACATTCAAATGATAAATCCTTATACAATTATTTATTTTTTTTGAACAGAAGAAAACCACTTTTATTCAAAGATATATTTGAATAAGATAATGCTTTGAAATACATACATCATATTTCAGTTACATTAATAGTAAGGATAAATTTCCTTCTGACAGATCTTAATGCAAATAAATAGACTAAGATTTCATTAACATCAATAAATATTCTTTAACTTCAAATAATCAAAATATTTCGACAATACTGAGTCAAAAGATTCTATATTTATTGTATGTTACAATAAGTAAGTATTTATCAATTATTATAGAAAAGAAAAAAAGATTATTTTATGTAATCAAAAGAAGTATTATTTCTCATTTATTATGAATGCAAGTATATTGATTATCTTCTGGAAACATTATTAGGTTGTGTTAACCGTTGATCATTGATGATTTTCTCTAGACTTTTTGGAAAGTTTTGAAAAAAGAATGAGAAGAAATAATGATGAAGAAGCAGGTTATCCGTAACTAAACAAGAAAATCTTTTTGTAAAACAGATATTGAGGGTGTGGGTGGGTGTAGGTATCTAATTTCAACCACAAGCACGCTCACACCCAGATCCAGACCCACCCATACCCACACCCTTGTTCTTCAAAACACCAACTAGTCTTGATGACTGAAATTGATTTCTTCCTGATTCGAAACCGACAAGTTGACTTGTCTGCTCACGATTTAATAATTCATTCTTTTGGTTTCGATGAAGCATTCATTGAACAGGGAAATATAACAGTGGTACGGAATAGAAAAACCTGTTTAGAAGCGCGCGACCTCAGTCGAAAAATTTGGTTTTCATTTTTCATAAATACAGTATGACGAACTGCAGCGAATGGCGTTTGGATGACGTTCATAGGTCCTGTAGTTAGTTTCTGACATAATAGAAATGTGTGTTAAAAACGTTAGAGCGTTACATTTGAAGAAGCCGATGTACAGTAATTGATGAGAAAAAATGAAAATGTTTGACGTTGATCTAAAGAAATAAAAATACTCGATGGTCCTATTAGTTGGGAGATTTATTACCTGTTCAAGCTTATAATTGAGGATATATGCTTGAAAATAAAAATTGAATCTTCGTTAATATGAGCATCTAATGAGAGCTTCCTTTAACACCATGCTGTTCATAGTCGCTTAAATTTCATAGAACAGTCAAATTGACTACTAAAAACACAAACAGAAACACTGTACTATTATAAAATAACTTTTTAGAGATACACTGACTCAAAGATATTTTTATAGGAACGATTCATCGTTAATAAAATAGGATAGTTCTGCTCGAAGGATTATACTTGGAGACGAGACTAATTGTATGAAATGTCAAAAGTTATTTGTTATGTTTATTTGTTTGAAATAATTAATATAGTTCTGCATTGTTTATAATTCCACTATCAGTCAGTCCACCAGTAACTAACACTTTTCCATCTGCCAATACGGATGCTGTGTGCTCATTGCGCGCATAATTCATGCTATCAGTAGTTGTCCACGTTTCTGTTGATGGATCATATAATTCAGCAATATCCAAAGAATTAGCATTATTATGTCCACCGGTAATTAACACTTTTCCATTGGTCAATACGGATGCCGTGTGGACACTTCGTGCATTAATCATGCTACCAGTAGTTGTCCAAATTCCTGTCGATGGATCATACAACTCCGCACTATCTAGAGGGTCGCTGCCATTACTTCCACCGACAACTAAAACCTTTCCATTTACCAATACGGATGCTGTGTGGTCATTGCGTGCATAATTCATGCTACCAGTAGTTGTCCACATTTCTGTTGATGGATCATATAATTCAGCAATATTTAAATGATTATAATTATTCTGTCCACCAGTAACTAACACCTTTCCATTTGCCAATACAGATGCCTTGTGCTCAAATCGTTCATGATTCAGGCTACTTGTAGCTGACCAAGTTTCTGTTGATGGATCATACAACTCAGCACTACTTAGAACATCATGGCCGTCAGATCCAGCAGTAACTAAAACTTTTCCATTTGTTAACACGGATGCTGTGTGAAGATATCGTGAATTATTCATTCTATCAGTAATTGCCCAAGTTCCTGTCGATGGATTATACAATTCAGCACTATATATAGCACCATTATCAAATCCACCAGTAATTAATACTTGCCCATCCCTTAAAATGGATGCTGTGTGGCTGTCTCGTTGATGATTCATGTTTCTGATAGTTGTCCAAGTTTCTGTTAATGGATTATACAATTCAGCAGTCCCTATAATAGTACCGTCGAATCCACCGGCAACTAATACTTGCCCATCTGCAATTACGGATGCTGAGTGCGCATATCTTGCATGATTCATGCTACGAGTATTCAACCATCCTAGACGAAAACAAAACATGTGAATGTATTCAATACGAGAAGAATGCTATTTCGATGACTTAGCCGTTCGCTTTCAGTGATTTTCTAACAGGAATATGTCGGAGCCCACCACTGAATCTGAACATCGAATTCCTGCTTTCAGAATCCAACATTTGCCCATTTTTTCTGACTAAAACCGGCCCGTACACGTCCATCTGGGTGTGTATTGTTGATACGTCAAGATAGTCTAATCATGTGCGATAAGTTTAAGATTTTGTAAAATAAAAATCGTTTCTCACCCTTAATAGAAAGTTTTTTCTGAATTTTTGGAGATCAGGAAAAGCCTTGAATTTGTTCGAAAGGATCGTTCATGATACAGTGCTCAAGTGAAACCGGTGCAAATAAAAGAAGAGCAAACAAAATTCATTTGTGCTTATTTTATACAAGGATCCAGCTCTTGAGTGGAGCTTTTAGATGGTATGAAAACGATGATATCTGTTTGTAGGAGATGTAGCGTTAACAAGCTTATCTCTAACTGTTGTAGGCCTTTTCTATGGTTTCGTCATATTTGATAAAATTATCCATGACGCGACAAAGTTAGAAGCAGAAAATGTTCTGCTGACTACGTTTTTTAATTTTTAACTAAGAAATAAATAAGAGATGAAATCGAATATTTCTGAAAAACATTTTAGAAACCGTGCTTGATGAGGCGAATTCTTTTCTGCAAGTAACTTTCGTTATACGTGGAAATGGCAGAATTAGAGAGAACACGTATGAAGCGTCAAATGATAGTGCACTGTTTATTTTTGGTTGGAAACTAAAGAGCAGCTCTACACGATGGTGTTAGCCACAGTTATGATTGACATACTAAGAAGGTTTCCAGTGCATTTCTACAGTATCTAAATTCAGGAATGATTGACCTTGGGATTCGTTACAATTCTATAGAATTATAAAGATCTATTAGATCTCTATCTCACTCTGGAAAACTAGGTGAACGTCGATGATGGCGAAAAAAAGCCAACACTGATACTACTATTACTACATTTTTCCTTATGATAAAGATTGTGTGACTCGTGATAATAGCACTGATCCTTTTAATGAAATCTTTAGCTAGATGCAGAGTACCGTTGGATGCAAAGCAACTACATTTATCTGATTTAAAAGTAGTACTTACGGATATTGAAGAGTGTTACTATAAAGCTTACCCAACTGCTGAGTAGTGGTCATAGTTGTTATGGGTGTTGATGTTGATGCTATTGTTGTTGTTTCTGATACTGCTGTTGTTGTTGTTTGTGGTGCTGTTGTTGTTGTTGTTGTTGTTTGTGATACTGTTGTTGTTGTTTGTGGTACTGTTGTTGTTGTTTGTGGTACTG